CCCCCCACTACTCCTACCCTCCACTCTGTTCAGCCCACTCATCTGAACAGCCTAACTTGGTTTCTGAGTCGGCCGTTTTGGTTTCTGAATCGGCCGTTTTGGTTTCTGAGTCGGCCGTTTTGGTTTCTGAATCGGCTCTTTTGGTTTCTGAATCGGCTCTTTTGGTTTCTGAATCGGCTCTTTTGGTTTCTGAATCGTAGTTGCTGAATCGGCTGTTTTGGTTTCTGAATCGGCCGACTTGGTTTCTGAATCGGCCGTTTTGGTTTCTGAATCGGCTGTTTTGGTTTCTGAATCGGCGCGATTTTGGTTTCTGAATCGGCCAGTTTGGTTTCCGAATCGGCCAGTTTTGGTTTCTGAATCGGCCGTTTTGGTTTCTGAATCGGACTGTTTTGGTTTCTGAATCGTAGTTGCTGAATCGGCCATTTTGGTTTCTGAATCGTAGTTGCTGAATCGGCTGTTTTGGTTTCTGAATCGTAGTTGCCTGATCGGTTAGTTTCTGAATCGGCTAATGACCACAAGGTCTGAAGGGTTGGGTGTAAGGGAAATGCCCAAATCTTGACACCTGCAAGTGTGCACCAACCCTTTTGGTATTGCAGCGAGACGTAAGAGACCTCGGTAGATTTCACAAGACCAGAGACGTTTTTAGACGGTTTTGGTTGGATCCATACTTAATACAAACCATCATAAACTTTCTGTTGGATTTGTACCATCTACTCCAAATCCAGTCTAAATGGTTTCTTTTTTGCAGCAAAATACGCTTGATCGCGCCTCGATCCCACGCCACGGTGGCACCGGACTGGGAGAAGGAATAAACGTTCATCGTCGCCTGGACATCTGCAGAGTAGCTACGTATCGGTGGCACTTCCCGTGACTCGAAATGATGGAAAGGTAAATGGCACTCTGGACGAACCATGAAGTTCGGTATTCCATCAAAGTGATGTGAGTAGAGTGGATGGCGAAACCCCAGAAGGAAAGCTGTATGATCTGCATGGATCACAACCTAAATTTGTCGATGGGTTTGTGCCATCAACTGTGAACCTCTACAATGAGTTCAATTGTTTCAGCTGCTCTTGCTTGGCAGTTCTGAATTCTGCAGTTATTTTTCATGCTACATCTACTGTAGAAAACAGGCTAATCACCCTGATGTTTGGCAACCAAGTAGTACTTAGTCTTACTTGTTTCTGGTTAACAATCGGACTTCCTGGTCTATGCAGTTGCACCAGGATAATTTTCCGTCAGTATCACAAAGACACAAAACATCACAAAAGCCAAACCGCTGTAACACCACTTGCTGAGGTTGTGTTGGGGCAACTTATCGGTGCAACACAGCTGGTGCTAGTTGTGCCCATCTCCTTCTCGGTTGGCAAGGCTTTGCGAAGTAGCTCGCTCCCGGTAACGGAGAACTTCACTGCCTCGGCCTCAAAGCCAAAGAGACTCACATGGAGCGGCGTCGGGATCAACATGTGGCGCTGAGTGAGTGAAAAGGTATCCTTTTTCTGTATTTGGGCTAGCGGCTATTGTTGAATGATTCTTTGCAACTGATTTGCTGCCACAACTCGATGCCACAATCGAACAATCGAAGCAGCTGTATATAAGGGAACCTTTAAAACATCGTAGCTAGGGGAGATAATTATCAAACATATCCATGCCAGGAGGATAAAAGGGAAATTGCATGGATATATTATAATCCTCCTGGCATCGATCGAGTCCCTGCTGCCTACTTGATTCCTTCGCCTCACAATCCCTTCTTCGCCGTCTGCGCAAACCTAACCCACAGTGCCTCCACTGTCCCACTCTTGCTCGCGGGCCTCGCTGCACAGCTTAAAACACCCAGGTGGTTGAACTCGGCGTCCAACCTACTAGCAATGGCCTCCACCCTAGAAGCAATGGCCTCCAACCTAATAACCGGGAAAAGGGTGCAAAGAGTTGTTGGAAAATCTCACTCTCACGTGTTGTTCTTGCTGATGCCGCTGTTGTTGCCCTTCTGGCATTTGCCGTTATTGCTTTGCTGCTCTTGCTCCCATCACTGTTCTTCTTGATCTTCTTGTGGTTGTTCTACAATTCTTGTTGCTGCTGTTGTTCCTCTCGTTTTCGGCTTTGCTACCGCTTTCACATTGTGTCCATAGAATGGCACCGGAGGAAGAGTGTCTGGTCCCTTCCTATATCCAAACCTGAAATCTATACTTTTTGGTTGATACAGGAATCCATGGGGGATTCTGAAAACAGATTATATATCGCAGAACAACAACGAAAAAAAAACCAGCGAAAAAAGCACCCGTCCACACCCGTCCCCGTCGGCCCTGAGAGCCACACTTCTCGCTGGCTCCCAGAATTAGCACCATTTCATTCGCTCCATCACCCGCTGCTCCTGTCACGGCGTTGGCTGTCGGGAGACGAAAACTGAACCAAGACATCACCAACCACGAGAAATCATGCGCCGCAATGAACGCAAACGAACGCCGCAATGCGCCGCGCCTACCAAGACTTGTGAGTTCAGGGCAGTGAGCTGATGTGTCTCGGAGGATAAAAGATCCGCAGCGAGCCAGGTGACCTTCACCACATCATTGGTAAAGTCTTGCCTGCACGACGCCCTTTTGAAGAGTGTGATAGCTCTCACGAGAGCAACAGGGTGTGACTTGTTTTCACCCAACATCCAAAACGATGAAATAGATCTTTCTCAACATCAAACAGAGCAGTGTTTTGGGGACTACATAATATACGGTGATTCCGAATCGTATTCTAATTACAAGACCTGTTCGGATGCTGAAACTGGGTCCGGTAGATTGTCGGAGAAAGGCCTAGTGCAATTACAGGGTGAAGACGGTGAAGCTTCCCATGTTTCACATTGCATGATTCATTGAGTGTTTTTGTGGTTTTTGCGCAAAGCCTGGATGTGGGTCATGAAACTCCGGTACATTCCACGTGCCACCGGGCATGTTCACTGGTCCCTCATGGTCCGGTCAAACTTCGGTCGACTCGACGCCGAGTTGCCAAACAACTCCCTCGCGTCCATCCGTGCGCAGCACGGCAAAGAAGCGCTTGTAGGTACCGTAGTTTCCTGCACATGGTAAACACACCAGTGCAGTGCGCGTTCGCTCCATCCAACGGGACGATTCCGGGATCGAAAGAACGGATCCTGCCTGAATGCGTGCCCGGGCCATGGTTCCAGTGCAGCTTTGGAACGAAAGGCTGGCCATCAAGTTGAAAGCCTCAAGGTCAAAACTCCAAGTACTGTGTCTACTGCATTCTACTGCGTCTTGCCTCTTCGTCTTAGAATGCCTTAGGGCCTTAGAGGTGATCGGGGTGCTTAAGTCTTAGAATGCTTGTCATGCTGGCAGGTCTGAGATCGGATGGCGGCGATGCCAGAATACTCATCGAAGGATTTGTAGAAATCGTTCGAAGTCGGACTTCCCCCCCCCCACTGACGCACGTTCGACGCACTTTCCCCACGCCGATCAATCGTCATCACTCCAAGGCACGATGACAGTTTAGACTCCATTGGTCGCCCCCATCAAGCACAGCAGCCTGGATCAAGTGGATAGATCAACTGGATTCAAGTGGTACAAATCCGCCGGGCGTCTCGTGGGCGGAAAGAACTTGTTTGGCAAAACGAACTTGAACAGCCGTACTGGGCCATACTGAAGATGGTTCTTTGATGGCCTGTGAAAGGGAGTCAATGGGTTGTTCAAAGCAGATCTGAAACAAAATACAGTAGGATCCCTCACTTGTCAACAAATCCTGAGCCTCCACAGTCGAAGAGACTTGTGGCCACACAGTCAACTGCTCTGTCCCGGGGCGGATGAGCACAATCAGCTCCTGTCGCACAGCCACTGTGGGGACAACTGGAAGAAATCATGACAAATGGAATCAACTGGGATCAGCGAACCCACCTGACTTCAAAAAGTCAAGCGATCTTAATTTCAAATGGGTGGTATGCATCCCCACCCAAGTAGGAATCATGAGCGATTTCCAACTCTAGCTCCAGCGGCTCCAGCGGCCCAGCCTCTTCGAGGTTGTCCAAACGAACCGTGGTCTTGGCGAAATCCCTTGGGCATCGATTCTTGAGTCAAGGCTCCGCTTCTGTTTTAGCTCATTCCCCCCGCTAGTAGGTTGGAGGCCATCGCTCTTAGGTTGGAGGCCATCGCTCTTAGATTGCATGCCATCGCTGTCGAGACTCGATTCCGCTATTTGACCCTAAAGTATACCTCCACTGCCTGTGATGTGTACTCACCCTGCCTAAAGCAACCTCTTGGGACCCTAATGAAACAAGAGTCTTGGGATGACATGCAAACTCTATCACGCACATGTCAGATGTCCTCCTGAGTGGCGTCCACATGTCCGATCCAAGTGGCATGTCTGATTTCGACACCGTGTCCAAGAGTTCAAACTGACCGTGTCCATAGGTCCACACTTTCACGTCGTTCGCTGGATTCCTGCCACGTGTAACCCCACACAGTCGCGCATGTATCAAGACATGAAGTTTGTTTCCTGCCACATGGGGTGAAAGAGCAACACATAGTATGTCCGCCAAACAAATCCCAAAAATAGGAAAGCATAGTCGTGGTAGAACCTGCCTGTAAAACCTATCGAAAGGATACTTAACATCTTTCTTAAATGGATGTTCACCCGGTAGCTCCACCGGCAAAGACCGTCCTGATGTAGAGATTCGTTCTGCTGGCAACAAATTGTGTGGCGATGGTCGTCGGAGGTGAAATCCTGAACGCCACCATCGTGCCTGGACGTGGAAAACCCGAAGCTACTAAGAGCAAGGACGCTACTAGGGGCTCCTGGCCTTACTACTAGGAGCAAGAAGCTACTGGGAGCAAAGGGCATCGCTACGAGGAGCAAGGACGCTACTACGTCCACCCCAGCTAGCCAACACGCGTACAGGATGGAAGATCTTCGCCAATCTCACCCATCTCCGGCGAGTTCGCCCCTTGTTGTGACTATTGTGGCTCTATGTGACTCTGCAGGGTCCAATAGGCCCCGGAGTTGGTTTCTTTCTTTCTTCTTTCCTTTGTCTTTGTTTCCAATAACCTAATAGCGCTGGCCTCCAACCTATTAGTGATGGCCTCCACCCTAGGTCTTATAGGCCCCGGACTTGGACTGGTGACAACATGCTTCGGGCGAGCCCGAGCGACTCCAATCCGTGGCAAACAAAAAGCTGATAAGCCGCACCTAGCAGGCCTTTTTCCACCAGGTAGTTGCTATTGGAATAGCGGTCGTCAGTCCAGCAATTGGAATTGCTTCCTGCACATCGGGACAAGCTTCAGGTGCTTCGGTGGAAGCGCTGGAAGAAAGGGGTGAAAACCCTGGTCGATCAGTCTCCACATCCCCTGGTCGATCAGTGTCCGATTTGACCAAAACAGAGAGTCCAAAATAACCAGTATCCGCATTCCAAAGTTCAGCACAGGCATGCGCTCTCCAAGGTGCCTGACATTGTGACCAGCGTTATATCGCCAATGGTCTCTGACTCTGGGAAGACATGGTCACACTCAGTGACCTGCACAGAAAAGCAAATGAAACTGAAAAACAGCTATCAGTCAAGACGTCCACAAAAAAAAACAATAAAAAACAGATTGCACAGGCATGTAGGTGAATCAATTGTCAGGTGAAACATGTTGAAGACAATTCCTGGTCTTCAGTCTTAGAAAGACCCACTGCCGGCACCAAGCATACACACATATGGACGGTTCATTCACATCGATCTCATTGCAAGGGGAAAATGATCCCATGGTGGGATGACCCCAAAGACCAAACCTTGCCTGCTGCCCACTGAGGACCATCTTCGAAGGGCTTGGAATGATCTGGCTGCTGGGCAAGAGCACGTAAATCTCTGGTGAAGTGATGGCCTGGACCAAGGTTTCGAAAGAAGCTTAGGAAGACCAACACCTGTCAAACCGAGTTTAACCGTCCAACAGGCTCACCGGTTCACCGAAGAAGCCAAAACGTCCTCACCTCCAGGTTCACCGAAGTGGATACGAACTGTGCTGTGTCCAAGGCCTGGCGCCACTCGTTGAACGCTCATGAGGCAAACGCACTCTTGAGCCAAAAGTCTTTAGTCTTCCATAGTGTTGGAGCATCTGCAGCATCTGCACTGCAATTGGACAAAAAAAAACAAAGCCGTGATGGGTGAAGTCCTTCCAAAGGGTGCGGCTGAGACGGCAGAACCTTGACCAGAGCCATGTATCGTTTCCCCCTTCGGCGGGCACTGCTTGGTGTATACTAGGACAGTCAATGACCAACTGACCTTGGCTACTTCGATTGTTTCAAGTTCGCTTGGGCGGGGCGCTACTGCATTCGGTGGCGGCTGTGAGGCATTCAGGCATTCAGGTTCTGTTTGCGACTCTCACTGCGGTGGTGTCGACTTCCTGCTTCACACTGGTTCCTTGCAAGCCTGGTGATTTCCAGCGGCTCCAGTGACTAAGTTGCGACGAGAAACCTGTAACGTGGTATCGTGCTTGGTTTGCATTCCTACGCTCGTTCATCCCTGGCATTGTGAATGCGTCCTCCAGGCTCAATCATTGCGACTCGCCTTCAAAGGTGATTGAAGAACAGATTGTGAGGGAGTTGGCTGCAAGTCCACCACGAACCAAATGGAAGAAGCAAAAGGCCGCTTTGGATTCCAGCGCTAGTAATAGTACGCCTTCAGGGCAGTCACCAGAATGTGAGCAAGATCAACAGCTGTCAGCCCACTTGGACCCCTGAGACTTTCACCTGACACTGCTTTTCCCCCCAAACGGTCGAAGACGGTGAGACCTGGGAAGTCCTTGGAAAGTGAGAGCCTGGAAGTCAATCCGTTGCGGTGAGCGGTTCTTTCACTGAAGCCTCTTTGTTCTAGGCGGAAATGTTCAAAGCAAGGTGAGAAACCTTTGACCTGACGCTTGGTTCATAGCCCGCGGAATACCAGGGAAGGCCGGTGGGTGCGAATTCACACACCCCTCTTTGAGATTTGTACAAAGCAGTTGTTGGACCTGGACCTGGGCGCGCTGCACTGCGGGCGTCCGCAAAGCCGTCAGTGAAAAAAAAGGAAACAATGGCAAAAAAACAAAGGGCACGGCCCCATGAATGAGGCATTGCATTTATGATGTCCGCATGGTCTTAATGTTCCCAAGAAGTCGAACAAGAATCATCTGAAGCACCTATATTGAGCAGTAACTAATTAGGGTTATATAACTGGGTCCTCCTTGGGCCCACAAATACCCAGCCACGTCTAGCCGCAAACTCAAAATGTTCCAAGAGATGCGAGTTCCCAAATCACCTGCATGGTCGCTAGGCGGATCAATACTCCATTCCGCAGGCGGTAGATCGAGTACTCGGCTCCATCACCTGACGCACCAAACGTCCGCAGGCCCCACCGTCCGCGCAAACGCGCAAACACGTCCCAGCCGTGTGTTGTTTCAAGTTAGGTTTCATGCCGATTTTGTCCTTGAAGCCTTGAGAGGAAAACGGCTGGAGGTGCTGAATCCAATATCAAAGTCCTGTTCCGAGAACTGAATAAAGAAGAGGGCACCTTGCTACTAGTAGCTTCTTGTTACTGCCAGGAGCTACTAGTATCCACTAGTAGCTTCTTGCTCCTAGTAGCGATGTCCTTTGTTACTAGTAGCTTCTTGTTACTAGAACTCTTAAGATCGGAGTTCATTTGAAAGACTTCCCACTTCATTCGTGCAATCTGGACGTCGCTCCAAGCCTGGCAGGCGCCAATAAAGGCGTGAGCCGCTCGCCACAAATTGCACGGCGGGTGATTCCGCCGCACGGATTTCAACAGCCGCCACATTGATTGAGCTGCTTTGAATCGTGACGCGGCCCAACACCACCGGGAAGTCACCTCAAAACAAGCGCCAAGCGAAAGCAAGCGCGAGAAATAAGGCGTTTCAAACGTTGGAGGACTTGCTGAGTTGCTTTCTGGCACTAGTCAAATCCACTTGAGTGTTGCAAAGGACCAAACATGGCAGAAGTTGACCATCTCATGACCATGTGATGCAGCTGAAAAGTCTGTCGTCTACTGAATCTACCTAGAGCAGCATACAGTCCAGAATGGTTTCTAAGGCTCTGGCCTACAGAGTATTGATCGCTGGCGTAGCAACCCTGACCTCCAGATGGCTACAAAGAGGTGAACACATGCAACGCATGTGCAATCATCTGACTAATTCGTCTGTTATCGGTTTATAGCTTGCCGCTGTCCTCTACTCTTTCTCGGATTCCAGCTTCTTATGTCCAACTCCGAGCACAATCTTTTCTGTTTTTCTCCGGACAAGATAGATTGTGGGGGGTCTCGGGGTCTCCTGCTCAACCGACGAACCGACTTTGTCGATCTCTGCGGCCTTTGTCAGTGATTGCAATTGCTATGTCTGACACGTTTTCAGTGAAGCCATTGTTCGAGCACTCGGTGGTACCTCAGATCCATCCCGTCTCCGGCGAGAACCCCCTTCTTCGTCAATCTTTGTTTTGGTTTCTCTTTTGGTTCTCTTTCTGCCAACCACACGTAACCTGTATGCCGACATCGATCTCATGGGTGGTGTTTCCCTCTCGAATATGAAGATCTCCCAAATCAACATCTACCGACGTATAGACCCAAATCAACATATCTGGATGACGACTCAGCCGGTCAGTCTGTTTGAAGGATCGGAGCTGATTATCACGCACGCGAGAACCGCACAGCTCTCGTACACCAAGGCTCTTCGGCCACCCAGCACCACTGGGCTTTCAGTTGCCTCGAAGGCTACCTTGCACCGAAGAGGCACGAGCATGCGATGTCACAACAAAACGAGCTGCGTGGATCTGTGTGTGGAGACTGATTGGAAGTCAAGCACAAAATCGTTTAAATGACCATTCTGGAAATCAAGTGCTTCCAAACTCATCTGGACAGCTGGACACCCGATGAACACCCGGTTCGCCTCTTCGCTCGCATCTGGTGTGAAGGTATAGCTTTGCAAAGGGTCGAGGGCAAAAAAGGGGCCAGGCCAAGGCCAAAGCGCTCCAAGCTGCTTTCATGGCATGTCACAAACAGGATCAGTGCACAGTCCGAGGTGTAGATAAATGATGATAAATGTGTCATATGTGATGAGATGTCTCTCAGCATGCGCCACATGGTTCGATGATGTTCGATGTGAAAGATCGTGGTTCGGTGTGGAGTACCATGTCGCCATGTCGGTGCCCACATACTTGTTTAATTTCGGGCTGTCTCCTTTCCCCTTTCAGATTGATCCATCGAAATATATGTCTTAGCTCAGGACTTGAGCAAAAAAACAAACAGCGGATATGCTTCCAAGTCAGTACTGTACCTTCTAAGCTCTCATGATTGATAGTGATGTATTGCGACTGATGCGACTGTGTCACATGTGCTCAGTCACCACTGGGCCTTTCCGGTCTTTTCGATCGCTCAGCGCGGCCAAGTTCTCCATGGCCTCCTTCCAGTTGGGCCGCAACTTTAAGGCTTCGCGGAAGTGACGAGAGGCCTTCCGCCTACAGCGACTCTCCGAGAAAGAAACGCCATGATGACGGGCGCGAAAGTCGAGTTTTGGTGGGGAGACAAATGAGGGGAGAGACAAAAGAGATAAGGAAACAAGTAGGTTGGAGGTCATCGCTACTAGGGTGCCATCGCTAGTAGCTTGGCACCCAGGACTCCGATGGTAACATGCGAATACATTGGTCAAAATCTGATTTGTGAGCGAACAATTTGAAAATCAGATTTGAGAGACTTAAGCCTGGAAACACTATCGAACAAAAACAAACAGAGCTGTTCTGAGCTGTTCTGAATGCATGTGTGAAGTGGTTTCAAACCTGCAGCTTTATCAGATTCTTTGTGTCCTTTCTGATTTACCATGTCTCCGCAACTTCAGGGCGCGTTCATTCGTGTAGGCCTTTTTTGTGTGTTGCCATGGTACGTATTAATACGTATTATGCCCAAATAAGAGCCTGCACCACTCACTGTGATCCAATTAATTTCCTGGTGTGTGTGTGTCTCTCTCTCTCTCTCTCTGCAGTGGAATTGAATTCCCGTTCTCTAGGGAGGGGTGAATGAGATATGCCTTTGATGAATTTCCGACAGTAGCAAAGTAAGATCAAGGGGAAGTAGTCGACACTCATTACCACTGAAGGAGACGGCATGACCGATAGCCAGTCCACTATCACCAAGTGACACTTGATTACGCGCGGAGTAGATGGCACCGAGGCCATTCTGCAATTCCGCAGAGCTTCGAACTCGTTCTGCCTTTTGAAGGTAAACCAAGGCTTCATCATGACGGCCAGCAACAGCCAGGGCAAGCCCAAAATGTTCCTCTTCAGACAACACCGTGGCTCCCACGGTGTAAAGCAGTTGTTTTCTATTTTTGGTTTAGAGAAATGGTGTAAAGCTGCGTATTTGTTCTCTGAATTTTAGGTATAAACAAAAACGCAGGGCTCACGTGTCACGTAGGATTGTCTGCTACTATCCGTGTCACACGCTCCCCAGCATGACTTGGTTCTTCATCTCTCCTGTGTGAGTGGACGATCTGGATGAAGTTGGAGGCTTTGGTTGTAGAGATCCAAGATCTTTTGAAGTTTTGGCCGCTTGAGGCGGGATTCCAATACTGCCATGTCGTGGTATGTTGCAGCTGCTTGTGAAGTGGATAAGCCAGGTCTATCCAAGGCAGTCCTGGACATCCGGGAGCAATGCACAGTAAGGCACGTGTTACTAGAAGCGATGCACTTGTTCCTAGTAGCTTCTTGTTACTACTAGTAAGGCACTTGTTACTACTAGCGTGGCACTCGTTTCTAATAGCTTCTTGTCCCCAAAAAGACATTGGTTCCATTCTTTTTTAGGGGGGCATAAATGCAAATGCACCCTCGAAAAACCTTACAAGTAGGCAAATCGACAGACGCCACCCATCTCTTTTCGCTTCACTGTCCTGAGCCATTGGAGCCCTTTCTTCACATGTCCCTTCTCCGCTTCCAAGCGCCCCAGCGCCTTCGCTGTCAACGCATCCGACCGTCCGTGCCAAGCACTTTGGAGGGCCACCGCTGCTTCATCCGTCCGGCCAGAGGCCAACAATGAGACGCCCAGTTGGTGATGGAAGGCTGGAAAGGGCTCCTGTGGATTCGTTCGTCCCACCTGTTCGCCCGGTTGGAGGCCATCGCTAGGAGGGTGGAGGCCATGGCTACTACGATGGAGGCCGTGGGAGGGTGGAGGCCATCGCTACTAGAAGCAAAGAAAAAAGAAAAGGAACGAAGGAAAGGGCTCCTCATGAGTAGATTCGTTCGTCCCACCTGTTCACCCTGTGGCCAACGAAGACAACCGCTGCGAAGTGATAAATTAAGGTAAACCGATGCGGTCCTATCCAGTTGTTGAAAGTTGAAATCCCTTGCAATGTCTGAAACCAACAACGGACGGCTCCGTCGAAGAAGCACAGCCAGCACCAAACCAGAGCTTCTCTTTGCATGGAAACTCCCTTAGTCTCTTTAGCGAACTAAGCACTCCCTAAACAGGCATTGCCAAACATGATTGTCACCTTCAAAGGAAAGTCAGTTCAAACTGCGGGTCCTTTTCAGGGCTAGTATTGCTTGCTTCCCCTTTACTATGTTCGGTCAGCTAGTTCTCAAAATTCTCAAAAGAAATGTGGAGGCTGTCCTGTTGCCTAGTGAGGCCTAGGGCCTAGTATGTATCTCTATATTCATGTGTCTGGTCAGCTTGGGTCCGAATTCACGTGCCACGGAGTTGGGATGTCTTCACTTCTTCGCTTCTTCCTTCAGAAGGCACGTCGACGTCGCCTCTCCTGGGCAGAAGCCGCAACTGCAAAGCTCCAAAGTTGGACGCCATTCCGCCAGTGCTCCTTGTGGCCAGTCTTCAAAGCTACCACTCTTTGAAGGGCTTTGTGCGTCCCGGGTGGTGTGGGAGTTCTTTTCATTCTCCAACATGCTCCAACTACATCTTCTGAAGGGACTGAAAATGGACTGAAAACTCTATCAAAGTGATCGAAACCGAGGTAGTTGGAGCCGTAGCATACCACTGATTCTGCGGTGTCTGGTCCGGTTTTCGCCCACAGCCATCTACCTTGCACCAAGGCTCACATAATCTGCTGCTTTGGAGCCCCAACAGCAAGAGGTTCAGGGGGCAAATTGCCAAGAGCAAAGGTGGTGACCACTGGAGTAGCTTGCGACTGAAGATGCACACCAGCGGAGGCCCCAAGAGTGCCTAGGCCAGGAATTGGGACTCTTCACATGGCTGTTCCAGTGTCTCATCATCCAACCGAGACACGTTCAGCTTCGGTTCATGACTTCCATCCCAAACTCCGTGAATAAAAAAGGTAGTCGACTGTTTGGAGGCCTTGACTGGAGGTCCTGACTTCCCAAAAGCACAAGTGATCACCATCGTGTTCACCGCAAGTGTTCATCAAATCCCATGCAAGTGTTCGCCCTAGTATGATATCTGCACATGTTCTATCATTGTATCATGTTCTAGATGCAAAAAAAGGTTCAAACCTGCAGATTTGCGACAAGAATCTGAGTTGGGTGGAAACCTGGGGAATTCTGAAGTTCAAAGGCTCCTTGCCTTCGATCACCAAAAAGAAAGATGGTATGTCTGAAGTATTTCTCCTCGTAACTAAGTCAGTGGTGGCTGGAATCCTGGGAGCCAGTCCGAGCTAGCTTTTTAGCTTCGGCACCCACGGGAGAAAGCCATATCTGTCCGCCAACCAGACGGGATCGCCATGCTGGATGAGCTGTAGGCATGGAAACAGAAGAGCCAGATAAGAAATCCAAACTGCTCCAAATATCGAAGAGCTGGACAGTCTGCTTGACTTCTTGTTTCCAAGGATCGCAATTGAACTCAGGGTCAAGCAGACCAGCAGTCCCACAGCCACGTATCCCATCTGTATTTGCCAGCTTGTTAAGCCGCCTGCTACGGGGTAGAACAACATGCCAAGACCTTCTTTTGGAATGATGATGCGCCATAGATAGAGGAACACAGATATCGACGCGCGCAAGAAGTTGTTGACCATATTTAGCTGAACTGCAGTTGTCTGGACTTCTTCAGGGCTATCACTTGCAGCCTGTAAAGCCCACAATCCACTCCGCAGAGCAAGTAACCAATGGACGACTTCAAAAGGAAGCTTGTCGCACGTTCTGTTTGTCTTAGTCACGCGGAGAAGCGTGAGCAAGACAGGGAAGAAAAGCACCACAGCTTTGCACAGTGTTGCACCAAAGAATGCTATTGCTGAAACGAGATTCAAGAGTAGAGCTTGCCAGTATCGCTGATTCTTACGATTCTCGAGGGCAACGTCGAATGCAATCAGGGAGAGCCAAGCCAGTGTTGCAGACCATATGTATGGCAAGCAGGAGGACCAACATACAACTTGCACACATAGAGGGTGAACAGCAAAGCTTGAAGCTCCCAGAGCTGCACAAGACGTCCAGGAAGGACTAGGCCTCTCCTTATTAGCAATTTTCCCCAGTCTGGGACTGCTAAGTGGTGGGTGTTTCAAGTCGATGGCACAAACATGCGCAAACCCTTGCTGTTTACCTTTGCCATCCTTTGGAACAAATGATCACCCATGGCGCCCATGACCAATTGTATCAGTCGTTTTGGACTTCCGAGACTCAGTAGACCAATTCTCCGTCAAAGTCTTCGTTCCCAGAAAGGCCACAAATGCCAAGACAGCATGAGAAATCACCTCCCGCGCTTCGGTGTCACTCGGTCTCTTGACTGCGGGATACAGCGGGTCCGAGACTGAGACCGGACATGTCTTGGAGTCCACGTCGAAAACCACCTATCACCTTTTTGGAGCGGTGCCGAAACCTGTGCCGGCTTTGCCGCGCAAACATCCAAAGCACCCGAAACCTCCAACCTGCAACATGTGCAGGTTCTTCGGATCGAGATCCACCAGCTCTGCTGCCGTGGCCTCACCGGAAATGGAGAAGGCGGCGAACATCGGTCTCGTGCAGGGAACGCACGAGTGGTTCCATGTTCAAATGGTTTGTTTACATGATGGACATCGGCAAGGCACGTTCATAGGATTTCATAGGTATGTTCATCTATGAATTGATTTTCAAGGTCCGTTTTACTCTGTAGGAGGCTACGGGGACAAAGATCGACTCATATCTCGTCTGCGGGTTGATTCCACAGATTCATGTCCTACGGAGTGCCACCCCTCCGGTCTTCCAAAGCGGTCTCCCGCTGTGCGGTGCCGTGATCGTTGCCGAAAGCCACAAGCAACGTGAAAAAAGAAAAACATCTGAAATATGTTAAAATGCCGGCTGCTTAATGTAAAAAGAACTCATTATTCCCCTATCTCCTTTTGATGAAAGGCAACCAAAAGGGTTTAGATGTTTCAAGAAGCAGAGTCTTGACCGAAACGAAAAGGGACCTGAAGGACCCCGAACATCCCCGAACCTTGAAAGCCAATGCAAGCGGTTCGTAGACTCTGAGTACAGAGTTCTCACACCACCACTGAACGTTGCTGATGGACCACTTCAAACGTCGTAGCTGTGCATCATTGAAGTTCCTTGGCATTCTGACAGGTCAAGGGTTGTAATTGGCGTGTTTTGGACATCACCGAGAGAATCGTTCTGACCAAAGTATCTAAGGAATCAGGAGCCGTTTTGGAAAAGTACAAGGTCCCGACCGCCAAAGCTGAACCCCAGTCCGATTGACCTTCAGAGTCTAGGGGCTTTGACGTCATTTGGAACTGAAGTGTTTGATTTGTTCATCTACTGTAGCACAGCAGTGGGAGAGAAAGAAGCGCTTCTTGGGTCAGGCGAGGCGAGTGCTTCTCTTTTTGTGGCTAAGGAAGGGCATGCACATGCTGTTGCGGTGGGTGGATCAGGTGTGCTCAAGCATGACCAAGTGACTGTGTTCAGGGCCAAGACTTTTACCCCAGGGTTTGACCCCAATGAACCAAGGCTCTCAGTGTCATCCCAAACGAACTCCCAAGCACCATGAAGATTGGGATGAAACGCTGCGAGTGCTGCGAAGGGCGCCAGCAAGCCCAGCGCACGACACCACATGAGGCTCAAGAATCAAGACTCACAAACAAGGTGGCATCTCACCCCGGAAGCAACGGATCTCTCATCTGAAGTCGAGTTGAGCTCTTTTGGACCACCCGACCACCGAACCAGGCGCTCACTGTTTCAAAGGTCAGCCAGGAAGCAGGAGCAATTTGGTTTCCTATAACTGGAAAGGGTTTGGTAAGTCAGCGAGTTAGTTCCCTTGCAGCTTTGGAAGACTGGCCAAAGAGTGAGCCTGGAAAATCGGTCTAATTAGTGAGTCTTCAATGGCGATGTTTTCCATTGCCAAGACATTGAACATGGGAGAGGCTTTGCGTACACTCATGGAATGCTCATTAGACAAGCCTCGGAAATGTTGACCATATCTGACTCCCGTCGCACAAAATGGGTGCAAGGGGATGTCGTCTTTCACGGTGCCATTTCCAGTATCATTGTTCATGGTCATGTTCATGGTGTCATTTTCGCAGTGTGAACTCGTTTAGTCCACTCGTCACTATCAGTCATGGTGGGAGCCAAGGCTGCGCGGTCATGGGCCCTCAAAGGCCTCCAAGGTGAAGCCTTTGAAAAGTCCCAAGTCTGTGCCATGCAGGTTCAACCCCCCCAGTTTAGAGCTTCATGGTTGGATATGGTTAGGGTATGTACGTGATGCGCTGGCCTTGTTGCTCACTTTCCTACCAACCCGTTCCCTTTAGATTTCGAGCCCTTTCACGTCCAACATTTCATCAAACAAACTTCTGACCATTCCTGCAACCATCGGGGCACCGACGTGTCATTCTCTCCGCCAATCTGCGGGAGCATCTTGCCACCCGTCTCGACCAAACTTGGTGCGGGAGCCGAGTTTTAACGATCCCGAAAGTGTGAGCCGGTGTGAGCTGAATGAAGTCACTGGTAACTTTCCTCCTACTCCCCTGACAAAGTTTGTTTGGTACCAGTGTTGCAATGTCATGTGGAAGCTAATGGAGCAGGAATGGGGCTGGGAGTGCAAAAAGCACTGCTAAAAGCTGGCCAAGCAGTGGTAGGCGGACTTATTGTTTCTTGGCCAAAAGGGCAGCCTCTGCTTCTTTCTTTGGCTATGAAACCCTCAAAATTGTCACTGAAGAGAAATTGAAAGACTGAAAATGAATGAAAATGATCTGTTCAGTGATGGATGGCGGCCTTTCAAGCCACTTCCTAGCTTCCCCGTGTTGAATTTATCGTTGGAAGGGGTGATTGTCGTGGCGTATCTGGCTGCCAAAGTCACCAGGCGCTTGTAGCAGGAAAACCAACACAGAGCACACCTTCAGATGGAGCCCAAACCCCTTTCTGTTGTAATTAGTGAGAACATCATCGTTAAGGTGGGTCCCTGTTCAGGTTCTCGATTGTCCTGCCAGACCAGTGGAGTTCCCTTTATCGCTGGAAGGTCTGGGGCGGCCTCGCCTCCTTTGTTCCTAGTAGCGTCCTTGCTCCTACTAGTACGGCCAGGAGCCCCTAGTAGCGTTCTTGCTCCCAGCACAAAAGCCCAGGAACAAGTCTCGACTCTGCTGCGAGGCATCTTCGGACTCCACGAGATTTTGATCCACGATCTGCGCATCTCCGCGCAGTGCGGAACGGTGCGGAATGGTCCGTTCTCGTTTCTTCGGAACTCAGACTTCCCCCCTTGGAGGCGCCTGTTGACTTCCCGACGGATTCCTTAGTGCCTTTGACATGTCGACTCCAAGGGATCAACAACGCGGCCATTGGTATTCATCCGTTCCAACCCATTTACCTCGTGAAAGGTAACACCGAGAGGGGATCGTCCTGACTCCAACTCAGCTGGTGAGCAAGATCATCTTTGCTCTGGATTCCGGATCAATCATTATGTACTTGATGGAAGAAGTCTTGCACCACTAGAGAGACAAAAATACCCCTTCCGGATACATCATCTAGGATGTACTGACTACGGTTGATGGAAGGAATACCATACCACCGAAGAACACCGCGGTGTCGAAGTCTATGGCGTTTTGGTGGCTCTGGAATTTCGTCCATGTAGGATCATGGTGATGGCTCTGGAAGAGCAAGCCACTGGACACCAATCAACGTGAATGAAGTTGTTCAAGGGATTGACCTGGTCCTGTACTTTGATTGAGAAAACATTAAAAGCGACCAACGACCCATTCCCAACGATGCCATTGCTGTAAACCACCAACGCCAAACCCTGCCTCTGCTAAAGGCCACGCCACCGCTGCGAACATCGCCAAGCGGCCATGCTTCAGTTCCGCCTCCCGACCGGTTCGCGCCAAGTTCGTCGTGTGTGCAACAATTGGAGCCCCTAGTAGCGTCCTTGCTCCTAGTAGCGATGCCAGGAGCCC